CTGTGAAGCTGAGCGAAAAACTTTTGCACTTCCCGTAATAATTGGAGTTCTCTGGGCTTTTGTAGCTGCCAATTAATACAATGAGCGCCATTGTGAATGATACTAATTTCCATTTCGGATCTGGCCAACTCAACTAAGTTATGAAACAAAGGGCTCCCGTTGACAGTTTTCGCCACCTGAGCACGTCTCAATTGAAAACTCAAATGCCAACTAGGAATTCAAGTTTCCAGTTAACCCCGGGCAGCCGCAAAAGTAACTGCCACAGCGATTTTGACTTTCAAATGTCAATTCTAAATGCGGCTGCCCAAAAAATACCTATGTATATATGAGGGTAGGCTGAGAATATTCAGATCTGAGAATAAGAAATTGCTGCCAAGCGCAAGCAATTTATCAACGTCTTATGAATTGAACAAAGAAAATTGCCATGAGTTTTAAAATCGACTCGAATATACACTCTTAAAGTAAACAAAAGAACTTTGGTACACCAAGCAATTAATACGCAATCGATCAATCTTAGGATTCTTTAAGAAAGAAAGAACAAGATTTTTTAAATATAGAATAAGTAAGAAACCTGCAGTCGGGTGCAACACATTTCCTAGTGGAATCGTCACATACGGTAACTACAGTATGAATGTGAGCTAATTAACAAACAGTCAGTCAGTCAGTCAGGATAAACAGTTTCTTATAAATAGACTGCATACAAGTCTATGTTGTAAGACTAGACTAAATCGAATAGGAGGCAGCTCCGACATTCACGTCTGCCTGTCCGTCGGTCCGTCTGTCTGTCCGTCTGTCTGTCCGTCTGTCTGTCCCTCTGTCTGTCCGTCTGTCCGTCCGTATGGACACATTAATGCTTAATAAACGCAAGTGTCGCAATGTCGAGCGTGAAATTCTAGTTTATAACGATATATGTATATATGTACATATTTGCATGTTGCCATTACTGGCAATTTGTGCGTCTGCCGTTTCTTACTTGACACTAACTTTGCCGGTTGTGAGAAGGGGATCGCGGGAGTGGTCTGTGTTTCAATTATGTGACAAAGTGTACCAGTTGAGGGATTTTTGCGAATCGCTGTCGCTTGACTGAAATCAGATTAAAGTTTGCCAAAGCAATGGACCAGTCGCAGCACCTGCGAACCCAGGCCAAGAGCCAGGTTCCACACCCAGCATCAACTTGGCTGGTTAAGATAGAGAAAAATGTGGGAGAAAGATTTCGGTGTGTGATGAAAAAAGAAAAAAAAATCATCAAACTTTGCCCAGCACAAAGATACCCAAACCAACTCTCATCTACGCCACTAGCCATGGAAAAGTAGTTGGACTCACATAACCTGAAAGTTTGTTCAAATGCGCATTGAATGGATTTACATGTGAGTGTATAAATGCACGTACAGATGTACATACAAGTGTATGCATGTGTGGCATAAAGTTTTAATAGTCTCACATTTGAGTGTTCTAATGATATGCTAAACTGCCAAACGGGAGGTCCTGCCTCAAGTTTACCTTGCCCTACTCGAGCAGCCCCCTCTCCACATTGCCTGCGGGCCAAATTGTTGCAATTTGAAAAGTTTATCATCAACTGATGCGGGTCGAATTGCCCAATCCCCAGCTATAGTATAAGCTCAACATTAGTTGGGCCCTGCACACAAATGGCTGGCGGGCACATTTGAGAACATTTGGAAAGGCACGAATATTTAATTTGCCTACTAAATACACACAAGTGTAAGATCTATCAAAGGGCAGTCGTTTATTTAAACACCTGCGACAATCCCTGCACACAGCTGTTGACTTACTGTAAGCAACTGACCACGCAATAAGGATATAGGATAGTCCAATTGACTGGTAGGGAAAGGCACTAGAACTCAACAGCTGTAGAAATGTGGTTGGAACGCGTAACATAAGTGCTTTGAATCAGTTGAAAAGCAGCTCAAGTGGGGTATAAAAGTGGTTTAAAGTACGGGTTTAAATTGCTTGAATGGCTCAAAAAATGGCTTAAAAAAGGTTTAAGAACCTAAATTTTAGATGCGACAATAGACAATTTTAAAATGAAGGTATTGGTAAAGTAAGCTTATTTAAGTTAGTTCTTTCGATCGTTCTTTCATTCAAATAAAATATTAAAAACATTTATAATTATTTGTCAATATTTGCTTCTGTTTAAAACTGCTTTAGGGATAATTTAAAAGAAATTATTGTTTAACATTAAAAATAATAAATACTAATATTTTCAGAGAAATCTAAATATGTTTTCAGAGATGCCCCATTCCAAATATTCTTTTGTTAATCAACAGCACGTCACCGTCAGCTATACCGGAAAATAGCCCGAATTAAATTTCCCCGTATATAAATATTGAAATTTATTTGGTTTTTGTTTCATTTTTTATTGTATTGATTTATAACTCACCTTGCCCAAATTGACGAAACCGTGTTCCTTGGCAACCGCATCGGCGATGCCATTGCTATCGCCGTTCGGTATGTGGACCGCCCAGGTGTGCGTATAGTGGCCAGCATCCCCGCCAGCTTCGCGCCCACTCCTGGGGCTGCCGCTGCCGCTGCTGGCTGCGCCCGTTTCATAGTCGAGGATATAGGGCGGCAGCAGTGGCGACTGGGCGTGACCGGGCTCCACTTTGGCCGCGAAACCGACATTTAAATTACATAAAAAAACTACGATACTAAATTGCAAAATCAGCAGCAAGGCAGTCGACGTCGACGTCGCAGTCAACGACCGCGTACACGTCGCCGTCGGCGTCGACGTTGACGTCGCTGTTGACCATGCTGAATGTCTGCTGCGAATGCGTTGCGTTTTGTTGTGCGTTAAAAAACTATTTTTGAATAAATTGCAATTGAAATTGAAATTGAAATTTGCTATATCACATTCAACGATTGTTTGTTGTTGCTCTTGTTGTTGTCCTAGCTGCAAGGGGGAACTTGTTGCAGCAACACTTGCAAGTGTTGATTTGGTCTGACAAAAAGTTCTTCCGCTTACAACATGTTGCCGCACTTTATGCAGTGCGTTGTTTTTGATGCCTCGTTGTTGATTGTGTTTGTTGTTGACTTTGCAATTGATGCTGCTGCCGCTGCTGCAACTGCTGTTATTGTTGCAATTGTTGCTATTGTTGATGTTCCTATTCGGCTGCCTGCTCCATCGCACGACGTCGTTTTTCATTGTGCGTTCGATTTGTATTATTTTATTAATGGCGTGTCTGCTTCCTTATGTGAGTTAGTTGTGTGTTTATATGTGTGTGTAAATCTTTTGCTTGCTGCTTCCACAGTGTTACTTTCTTCCTCTTAACGTTGAGAAGCTACTTTAGTCGCTTTACTGTCGGATTTAAGCTGCAAGAAAAACAAAATAATTGAAATTTGCATTACTATATGATGAAACCCAGTTGGTAAATAAGGAACGATAAAGTAACTATGGTATAATTTAAAGTTAAGAAATTGCTATTAAAAGTGATTTAAAAAAATCTGAACTGCACAAACTTCAAAGCAATGGTCTGCGACTTGCCTCGGCCTAAATGGCCTTGCATTTATATATCAGATGTATGATAAAATCCTCTACCTAGTCATTTAATGTGTTAATACAACAATTATTGACCGGATTTTCTATGCCATATATGTAGTTTATATGTAAGCAGATTAAAATAAAGTTTTCACACACAGTGCTTTTCACCCAATAGCTTTGGAGCTATCAGGATAAATCCAAAACCGAGAGACTTTTTTGCCGTGATACCTACACTTATACAACCCGCTTACCCAATTTTATCCAGTTTCCTTACTAACCAACTAAAATATTATGTAGTTAGCAGAAGCTTTAAGCACATAGTTGGCCAAAGGACAGTTTGCGAGACAAATGAGAAAAAAATATGGAAAAAAATAAGTGCCTGCCAATGACACATTCAATTTGTTAACAAATATTCTTTTACAGAAGATGCCTGTGTCAAGACCCTCGGACAAATCTCGGCTCATTAGCAGGCGACTTATGTGCCACAAATGAAATGCGACATGATACTCAGAAAAAGAAAAAGAAGAGCTCAAGAGCTATTTGATGCCAATTGTTGACAGTCAGTTTGGACAGAATATTTTTTCTTTGGAATTGGCTACCATTTAGCTAGCGGGCCAAATCACACTGATTGTCAACCAGGCCAAACAGTTGTTGGCATTGCAAATGAGGCGCTGAAATTGGCCAACTGGCTATTGACTAATGCCATTGTGCGAAAAGTGCCCATGACTGATGATGCCCCAGAGGCTAAACAGCTAACAGCCAACGGCCAGAGCACTGATTGTCATATTTCGCCGGCAATTCTGATTGAGTAGGACGATTTTTGGAAATGCAGTCAGCGCGTAATTAAAGCCATGTGGACAACGGAAATGGCCAGCTCCGACAGCAGCGCCCTCAAGGCCAGGGCATCATCAGCCGAACGGATATTGTGGTGTGCGACGTTTGGACATGGTAATCAATAGCCAACCGGATAGGAAATTGAATTTTCATGCGACAATAGAGGCATTCAATATGCAGTGGGGGATGAACCCGATAAACGAGTGCCTGACAAAATATTTGACAATTTTTTTTGCTGAAGTACCACTGCCAGAAATGTTGTTTAACCAACGAATGGTTTTTTAATATACATTTTTTAAGAGATAAGCGCACATATATTTGAGTATTTTACAGAGCCTTTCAAAAATGTTTGGTCAAGTAAAGTTTTTAGTTAAGAAAGCCTCAAGGTACAAGTCGTAAGCCTTAGACTTCATTCAGGATCCTCAATGCTAAATTTTCAGAGTATCTGAATAACAAATCTGCGTTAGTTCAAAACAAAATGAAAATTGTGTTAAATACAGACCAAATAAGCTACAGCTGTTATCTTCGAAATATACTACTAAATAACCATCCAATATTTATCGAGTTCGGGAGAAACAGAGACACTGGTATGATATAAATCGACAAGTCTATACACACAAGCATTCGAACAGATATGGTTGTATATATATTCAACAAAAAACATGTATACTTTATGGGGTTGCAAGTGGATAAGTTTAAATCTTGTACAAATAGCAGTAGGTTTATAGCTTTTGCAGTGAAAACCTTTGTTTTAGTATACTCTGATCCTCCTTAAGCTTGAGAGCACATGGGGGAGCTTTGAGAGGTATAATAATTGCCTTAATAGAAGAAACATCTTTGGAGATGTATCGATAAATGGGGCGCCAATGCCAAACGCGTTGCTAGTAGAAGCTTACTATAATAGTGCTTACTTAGACGCATAAGGATTCCTTTACAAATATAAAATACATCACCTAAACCTTTATTTATATTATCCTTATTCTTGAAGCATTTTAATTCTGCAACTAATCCTTTCGCGTTCTGATTAAACGCTCAGTTATTTTGTCCTTCTCAAGAATAAATATGCTGGAACCCCAGCCACTGACCGCATCACGATTGAAAGAACCCAGCATTGCCTGAGCAATCGTCTTAAAAAGTTCAGTTGCATTTAGATTCGGACTCCAAACGCTCTCGCACATGCCTACCAATTGATCCGAACAGGTCCCAGTAGCAACAAAATCATTTGTGACATTGGCACAGCCAATTAGATCCATGCAGCAAATATAGGGCTCGAGGGTTTCGGGATCCAGGCCGGCAATAACGGGCTCAACAAAGAATGGACCAAATCGATGCTCGTAAAGCAAATGGGAGAGTAGTTCCGTCAAGACTTTCGGCGACACCTCACGACCCTCATTTATCTCATAAACATTCTTGCGATACATCAGACGATTGTACACAGTCATAATATCCGTATGCAGGCCAGTCAAACCCAAATACAAACGTGGCGATAGATGGAAAACCTTCTGACAATCCTCGCCAGCGGTGTGCGACTGCAGGCCAAAGCGACGATCCGTGGCAATGGCAATACAATCCTTGCCCTGCATGGCAATTACACAGCCCCCATTATATGTAACCTTATTAGTAGTAGTCATTTAGCTTTCGTTGCAAAAAAACCATATAATATAATAATCCTTGTCGAGTGGGTCTGTGTGTGTGGAAAGTTTGTGATGAAACGATAGATATCCAGTCGAGATCATAAAAGTTAAAGTTCTTTTCATAGATTGCTTAGATTTCTGGCGATGAAAATGCCTGATTGAGTGGCCGCATGGCAATTTTGTACGCCATAAACTTGTAAAACAAATTTTTCGGCTAAATTGTGGCCAATAAATAAAGTTTGGAGCATTGCGAAAAGAGTTCCTTTAAAAGAAAAAAAAACCAACAAAAAGTCATTAAAAACTTGTGCGAATAGTTTTTTTGGGCACACTCAAAGTTCCAATTCCACTCCACTCTTATCAGGTGTATTGCACATGAATGCATATACGCCAACACCAGCACACACACGAACACTCACACACACACAACTTCACGTTTCCTTACAAGCAGATTGCATCACATGCCCTTTTTGTGCGGCGACTTCCGCATTGAAGTCAAGCCCTTTTCCTCCGACTTCCTGACAGGACTTCCACGACTTTTGCCTCGTACAGCGTCTCGTCTAGTAAACTTTGACTTTGACTGACGGCATTTGTCAGCGGCAGACACAAAGTAATCATTACTTGGCGCGCATTACGTCTGCACTTGCATTATAGGAACGCAGCGGGCGCACTAAGCGTATATTTTATATTAAGAAAATAAGTGCGTCAGCGTAGTTGGCGCCCAACGTGGGCCAGTTACCCACAACACACGCTCGACAGAACCTCACATGCCAACGAAAAGTGCAAAACGGTGTCAAAGTCAACGACATAAACATCATCAGCCACAACAACAACATTTTGTTCATCAAGAAGCAAGAGTGGGTGTGGAAAGATGGGCAACTGCAGCTGGTGATGAAGTCGTCCCGTCTGCAGCACTCCAAGTGTAAAGTGTTGCAACGCCAACTTGACAACTTGAGACAAATTGAGATGTTGTTTTTTACACTTCTGCATGCAAACGAGAGGAGAATTGACGAGGTCCTTGACCGACTGACTCGTATAAAGCGAACAAGGTGCATCACAGCTGCATTCCAAGCAGTTTTATGTGTAACTGGCGTGTGCTGTGATGTAGGTCAATAAAGTATTGTCGATAATTTATTCTCCTTTTTTACACTTCTGGCTAATAATGGCCTTCCTTAAAGAAAGACAATATATTTTATTAGAACTTTATTGAGATACCAAACTAATCTGCGATACAAAATAAACATATTGCTTTGTCATGTTTTTGAACAAAATCAACAAAAAATGAAGCAAAAAAAAATCTGATTTTTTTATTCCGTTTAAAGCCAATAATATATGTATTTGTCGTGTATCCAACAAATTATTGTGAGTATTATTTTTGAATGCTAACGATTAAGTGTTAGTAAGAATCAGAGAATTTGACAAAAGGTACTGCTATTTAACATAACTGTCCTACTTGTATTAGGGTTGCTACTGAAAGCATGGTGTGAGACAAAGAAGATAGTCTCTGCCGAGCATGGCCCGAGTGTGTTGTATAACGTTCAGTTTGGTATAGTGTTGAGTGTTCACTAACAGTACTAAAAGTCAGAGAAGAATGTCGAATGACAAGAGCATGAGTAGTATGCTCGAGGACGATGAAAATTATTCATTCTAAAAGTGAAAGTCATAGAGAACGGACGTGCTCGCTCTTAAGAATATAATTTCTTTGTGACTATAACGACACTCGGGACTTGCTGTGCTGCCAGTATGCCTAATTGCAAAGAAAGTGATTTCTCCGATCCGACATATTTAAATTTCACATAATTTGTTCAAGGCAAACAAACTTATGAAAAATCCATAAATTTAAAATAAAAATAAACATTTTTGCCAAAAATAAGATTTGGGCAAGAGAGATAATTAAATAAAATAAATAAATAAATATATAATTACTTTAAAAATAAACTTCTAACGTTTCGAATTCCGGCTATTGGAGGAATATAAGAAAAAAGAAACCTGCCCTTAAAAAGAATGCACCAAAACAACTGTTTGCAGAATGTTGTGCACATGGTTATGTAAGAAGTGCAACAATTGGAAGGCTTATCCATTCACAACCAAGCGCCTCACCAATCGAGCCTGACCAAAATGCACAACACAAAACCCAATTTCAACAGCCGCAAGCGGAACTAGAAGAACTGGCCAGGAGAAAGAAGAAAATAGAAGTAAAAACATCACATAACACAGAAGCAAAAGGCAAAGTAGGAAAGTTGAAGAACGAGGTGCTGAGAAGCTGTTTTTTAAGGCTCTAGGCTGTAGGCAGCTTTGGATTAACAGTCGGGCAGTTGGCTGCTTGAGCTGCCGTTGTGGTTGGCAAGAGCTGCAGAAAGAAACTTCATTGCAGGATTTGTGAAGCCCAATGTAAAATCCAGAATGGAGCTGCTTTAGGGCTTGGGCGCTACCCAATCCTCTTCTGCTTCCATTCCACACTTTGAAAACCAATGCCAAAACACATTACGCCCGTTGGCTTTGAAGGCGCTTGCAGCGGCAGTTAGTCGTTTAAAAAGGCTACAAAAGTCAAAAGCCAGCGTTTGCACGGCAGAAGTGCTGGGAAAGTGGAAAATGGTGGGGGCGTGGCACGCCTTTTGTTAACGCATCTGTTGTGTTGGATTTACGAGTATGTGCCTCCCTCACCTCTGGCTTTTATGCCTGCTTTCCTTGCTTAATGATAGTAGCCACAAAGCCAAAAATGCCGCCTTCCAACGCTCTGTTGCGAGCCTTTTTCTCTTCTTCGTCTGCCGCTGCCACTGAGCAAACCCGCAATCGCGGCTGCAACTGGAGCACAAAGTCAACAACAAATGGGCTTGGTTAACGCCCGCAGTAAAGCGGCTGTTGGTTTTTTTTTCTTCCCTTTTCTCTTTCAGTGCAATGCTGTAAAAACATTAAGAACTTAGAAAGTCGTAGAAGAGCAGGACGAAGTATGTCAAAAAGGAGCCGCATCTGCACAAAGTGTCGGCGCAGCAAGAGACGCAAATGCGAGCACAAAACGATAGTTTCTCGTGGTACCCTGTAGCATGTATGTGTAGGATTGCGAGTATCGACCAAATGGGTGCTGCATTTGACAACATGAAGTGGTGCAAATGTATTTAGTAAAGTAAGCAACTGAATATTCGAAAAAAAAATACTTTCAATTCAATTCAAAAGGAAAATGCCTTTCTCAGAAATAGATATAAGTGCAAAAAATGTTATAATATCTTTTTAAATAGGACGACAGCAGTAGCACAAGTCCTAAGGTTAACAGTCAATTTATTCTTTAAAATGTAATTCTTATACTTACTTTTCCAGGGCAACTTTATGAAATATCGTGAAATGTCCCTGTATGTATTGACATATTTTCTATATAGTAAAAAGTAATAGCTGTGCACTTTTATTTTTGTAAGAGCCAGGTGCATGCAATCTAACAAAAGCTGTTGCACACGTTTGTGCGTGACTGTAAAAATCCTACGCAATTTAGAATGCCGTAATCATATTGAGCTAAACGAAGTTAAATAAATAACATAAAAAATGTAATCGACTTGGGAGTAAAAGAATAACTCTTAAGGAAATGAAATGCCACAAAATATAAAGAAAATAAGAAAAATATTTCTTCGATAAACTTAAAAGAGCACCTCTTAAGTTTTTGCACTGAATTTGATTGAGCTTTTATTCTTATTGATTCACCTTTTGACAGCTCTATTAGTGCTGTCATAAGAGTTAAATTATTAACGCCGCATTCTGTGATAACGACCTTGTCTCAATACAAAGTGCATTAAGGATTTAACGCCTTATACAAATGGCCAACACAAATTTAATTATCTGGCTTTGTTTGAAAGTCGCAAGCCCTCCAACATGAGACGTGTAATGAAAATGCCTGAATATATTTAAATATATATGTGAATACATATCTGTCCATATATGTGTGTGCTATCATAGGCATCTCGAGTATTTCATTAAAATGAATATTTCTTGCCTGCAACGTATTTCCTTGTTAATAAGTAAACACGAATGCGCGATTTCAGTGAAACCCAAAAAATTAACAAACGAAAAAAAGAGAAATAAACGAGAGTATAATTACAATGGCAACGATTGTAAAGCCAGAAAAGTGTGTGGGGATAACCGGAAAATATGCAGTGCGAAGTTCCATTACATTGCATGGCGTCCCATAATTGATTTTCCATGGTCAGGGATAAAGTAAACGCACAAGCTAAATACCCTGTTTTACATGTGAGCACAGCGGGAAAAAAAGCCATGTGAGAAGGAGGTACATGCAGGCATTCGTTGTACACTTATCTCTGCCGTCCATTGCGAAATTAACTGCAAACGTTGCCAGCAAATGGCGGCTTGAATGAATCCTTCTTCTATTCAGTGCCTTGAATAACGCTTAATGCAAGCATCTTCAGCTCCGACAAAGTCCTAGAAGTATGCAAGTCTTTACAAATTTTTGCCTAAACAAAGGTAGCGCCCAACGACAAAAACAGCGCACTCAAGTTCTGCCTGCAAAGAGCCTCTCAGACCCACAGCTCAACGGAGGTTCAACTTGCTGCTCATACACAACGCAGCATAATTATTTCTACACTTTCCTCTCTGTTTTTTTTTTCTTCTATGATTTAACGCCAAATACCAAGGCTGGGATAGTTTATAAAATCAAACAGATTAGCGAATACTCTAAATGAAATGCTTGGCAACTAAGGTTTAAAGTCCTTTCTCACAGCTTTAAAATGTTCAAAGAAAATTCTTTACATATCAAAGTATATTCAACAGAACATTAAAAGTTTAAAAACGATTAGAGCTGTTTAAGTAACATAAATAATATCTTAATATATAACACCTGTATATATATTTTTATAAAATTATTTGTGATGACTCATAAAGTACGTGGACACTAAGATGAAGTATTCGAAAATTCCACCCGCATGTGTGGATAATTGTTCGAAAAAGGTGTTATGAACGTCCAGATTAGCTTTATCCCAATTAGCTTTATCCCAATTGACGCCAATCTTAATATACCCTGAACCCATAGAAAATAGACAAAAAGGCTAAAACGGTTAAATGCACACAGAGG